ATTTCTTCCAAACTGATTAAGTCTTAGATTTTAAAAGGTTTCTTTAAAAAATAACTGCGTTTGTAATCTGGGAACCGCAAAAACTTCGGTCACATTTCCAGTATTATTTTTTTGATACGAAAAAAAGTAGAAATTAAAAATGTTTTCCAGATGACTGACTTATCTAACAACACGTATTAGTTTAGTGTACAACTAGTTACCTCCTCCTCCGTCTTCGCTTGGTGACACAAGCCTATTAAGTGCCTTTCTCGTGTTGGGCGTTTGGTACAATGTTATTCTAAGATTCATGTCGTCTCTGAGGCATTCCTATCGAAATAATAATATTGGCTCTTATCACAAGCCATGGCAACATGGTCTGTGTCGTGGGAACTAGAATTCAATTAAATTTAACTCAGATATGTTGCACATTTGGCCTGGACATTTGAAATAATTCATTATCAATATTCGAAACTCTTTTTTTTTGCTGTTTATGTTTGCTTCAATCAAACCTGACCTCTAAACGCATGGATCAGTTTTTTTTATATATCTTAAGTTGTGTGTTTTTCTGTTTGGTTTGTGGGATTTTTTTTTAAATTTTACGTTCTTATCAGCTATTCTTGTTGGGTTCTGCTGCCCCGAACACACACTGCAAGCCGAGCATAATTTTGCCGCTGTATTTGCCGGACTTCTCTTTAAAAAAATACATTTTGCAATAATTCTAATTTGATATGAAAAATCCAAGAAAATAAGGTGATAAGTATTGTACGAAGTTGTTGCTTGGCGTTTTTTTTTTCTCTTTTTTTGGTTTCACATGGTGAATGTTGGAACTATCCAAACAATATTTTCTCACGATCCCACATATCACAATCAAACTTGTCAAAACAAAAGCGTGTTGGGTAAAGTTTTTGTTTTTTTATTTTTATTAGAGTCTGACGTAGAAGCTTGAAAGATTTTGTTGCATGAAATAAATCAGCTATTTCTGTTCAGAAACTTATACGAAATCAATATGTTACACTAGGCAACAGGAAAATTACACTCTGCGACAAAATTATTTTTTTTTTATTTATTTTTTTTTTTTTCAATAATTACGGGTGAAATCCAGAAGATTATTTAAGTAGAGTTTTGAAAGTTTACATCGAGAACGAAAATAGAAGGGAAGTTCCCCCTCATCCACACATTTGGAAAATTTGAGATTAAAAATCCTCTGTGCGTTTTAGGTATGCAGGGTGAGATGAAAAAACTGCAGCCAATTTCAGACTGCTGTCATTTCTGACCCACTCGTCCGACAGCTGTTAAAATTATTCCAGTGACAGCTCATTATATTGTTTACAAGCGTACAAAAGCACTTTGGTGAGAATTTTCCATAAAAAAGTTATCCGTGAAGGAATGCAAGCGTGATAGTGTGATTTCTTTACATTTGACTGGAAAACCACCAGTGGCTATCGTTAGAGCACTCCAGCATTTAAATCTGAATAAATCTTTTGTATCTCGTACTATCGCTCGTTAACGTGATAGTGGTGGCGTAGCCCGACATCAAGGAAGTGGACGGAAGAAAACAGGAGCAGCAACATCAGCAGAAATGGTTCGAAAAGTAAAAAAGCGACTTGATCGAAACCCGCGTCGCAGTGGCTGAAAAATGGCTCGTTAGCTGAACATGTTCTCCTGAACATATATTCCATTCGGCAAATCTTGAAAAATGAGCTCGGAGTAAAGCCATTGAAGTTCCAAAAAGTGCAAGAACTTACACCGCAACAGAAGTAAAATAGACTCAAAAGAGCCGAAGAGTTGTTTCGCTTGGCCGAAAGTGGTGAATCTGCCAAATTTGGTTTTCTCCAATGCGAAAACATTCGTTGTCCAGCAGTTTGTAAGCAAACAAAAGATCGTGTTAACTTGCCAAAGAGGTCAGCTGAAAATGAGTACCTTCGGATGGTCACCAGAACTCAAGCGCCGGCCATGGGGATGGTGTGGGCCGCCATAACAGCCGATGGTCACTCTCCGCTCGTATTAATCGACCGTGGCATCAGAATAAATGCCGAATATTATCGCAAAAATATTCTGGAGGGAGACCTTGAACATTCCAACAGGACTCAGTAACATCGCACTCAGCACGCGCCACCCAAGAATGGTCTACAAAATGAGGTTCCTCGCTTCATTTCTAGCGCACAATGGCCAACAAAATCTCCGGATACCAATCCGTTGGACTATTGTGTCTGGAGTATTTTGGAAAGCAAGGTTGGCACTAAAAAATACCAAAGTGTAGATATAACTTCAAGCAAGCGCTTCGCCGGAAATGGGTCAAAATACTGCGGAGCAACATTCGTGTGACCAATTCGAACAAATCTAAACTAATTCTAAAATTTGATGCCATTTCCGTCATTTTTGCTTTCATTCAATAAAATTAAAAAAATAAAATGTAAAAATTATGGCGTTTGACTTTGCTGCAGTTTTTTTATCTCATCCAAATCCAAATTTGGAATGCGCAACGGAATTTAAGACAAAAATAATTTTGTCAAATTATACTGAAATCAGTTTAGATTTGGATATAGCTCCCACATACATTTTCGGTCGATTTCGTTTTTGATGCAGCAAACAAGATATGTACAGGGTTGCCCATATTCGACGGACCCATCTGGCAACGCCATAACTTTTGACAGAGATGTCACATGGCTTAATGACATACCGCGTTTGAAGCGTCAGTCCAAGCAGATTTTTACCATGAACAAATACACGCCACGCGAGCGCTCTGAAATAGTTGAAATTTACATTCAACAGAAGAAGTCGATTGTGAAAACTCAGCGTGCTTTTCAAATATTAAAAAATGTGAGAAGTGCGCCTTCTAAGAACACCATTAAGCGTTTATACGAAAAATTTTCGACTGGAAGGGCTCTTTCTAATCCGAAGAGGCCATATAAAAGTCGACCAAGGCGATCGGCCGAGAATATCGCTGCCGTACGAGCCAGTGTTGAGAGGTCCCCAAGAACATCCCAAAAACGCCGTTCTCAGCAGTTGGGCATGGCTCGGTCCACTTTACAACGGATTATTCGCATTGATTTGAATTCGTTCCCGTACAAAATTCAATTGACGCAAAGAATGTTGCCTGCGGACAAGCTTCGTCGATGGGAATGGGCCCAAAGGGCCCAAGGGTCGTCGAATATGGGCAACCCTGTATGTTCGATTCCAATGAAATTTGGAAAGTGTGTCGAGATTTTGATCAGAAAATAATTTTTTTCAATTTATATTGAAATCGGTTCAGATTTGGATATAGCTACCACATATTCCAATTAAATTCAGCATGAGTGATTAATTGTTTCAGATTTGGATATAGCTCCCAAATATATTTTTGGCCGATTTTACATATATTTATATTTTGCATCCAACGCGATTTCCATAAAATTCGGGCAGAAAAAAATCTTGTACCAAAAAATGCCAAATTATATTGAAATCGGTTGTGGTTTGGGTATAGTTCCCACATACATAATTTGGCCGATTTCATGTATGTTATTCACCAAATGCGAGATATATGACCGATTTCAATGAAACTCAGACCAAGTGGCGGAATTTGGTTACAATTATAAATTTGACAAATTAATTGGAAACCGGTTAAGATTTGGATATAGCTCCCATATATATATTCTTGGCCGATTTCACATATTTGACGCACCAATTTCAATGAAATATGGAATATTAGACGTTTGGCGCACAACAAAAGATAAATCGAACGAAGTTATATATGGAAGCTATATCCAAATCTGAACCGATCTCGATAAAATTTAGCAAATGTATTTCTGAGCTGTATTTGATATATTTCTCCAAATATTGTTGTTACAGAGTGCAAATTACGGCTGCAGAGGACAAAAATAACAAATCGGATGAACAATATATATGGGAGCTGTAGCTATATCTGAACCGATTAATTTGGTTGTATGTGCAAAAATCCATACTATTCGGGCTGATATTACACGTTTGGTGCACAATAAAAGGCAAAACGGAGGAAATATATATTGGAGCTATATCTAAATTTTGACCGATTATTTCCAATTTCAATAGGGTTCGTATTTGGTCCAAAAAAATGATTTGTGCAAATTTCATCTAGGTAGGACAATAAATGCGAACTGTACTTTGTTTACAAAAATACATGGACGGACATACGGCCATGCATAAATCGACTCAGAATATGATTCTATGCAGATCATCAAAAGGAACTATGGGTCTATCTCGTTTCTTTTTGCCTGTTATACACAAATGCACAAAGACATAACACCCTGACCACATTAAAAGACATAGAAGTGTAAAGATAGGACAAGACAGAGTCAAAACATGGCAACCCTGTTAAAAGTACCTCTGTTGTTACGATATCATAACTACATAGTCACCAATGTTAACTGATTTAAACCGCTAAAGCAATATGCAAAATTTTGGGAAAGGTCTATGGAATAAAATTTCGAAACCAAAATTTTGGATTTTTCAAATTTTTATTGGTTATTCGTTTCTGTAACTGTGGTTTTTATATTAACATGTCTCTGCCATGAGCTGTTACTCTATGTATTGTAGACACAAACATTTGCTCAAAATGCATTTTGTCTAGTCTTTACCATTTTAGGTCTTTGCCACCTTGTGGTGTAGGGTATAAAAAGCCTATTTGACATAACAAGACTCCACGAGAGAGTTGCATTTTCCTACTTTCCCTAAAGTTAAGCAACATATCTTATTGAGTCATGCTTGCAACTGCAGTACAAATGCAAATCAATTAGGTAGTCGCACCAGCAATTGGTTACCAAAATAAAATTTAAATCACATTTTTCAACACAATTTCATTTTAAATATTTTTTTTTTTTTCAAAATTAAAAAAATTAAAATTTTTTATGATTCTGGTTTAAATTACGACTCATTTTGACGTATCATGGCGCTGTCAGCTACGTTGATGCGACTACCTAGTACATTTGCCATATATTGTTTGTACAGTACTCAAAAAGACAATCCACAAAATTACAATATCTTCCAAAACATATGTTTTGGCTCTGCCGTGTTGATAGTTTTGATTATTGAGTGGTGAGGGTTGTGGGTTGTTTGTAGGGTTTACATTTTCGAAATTTCATTCAACAAAATAAATACAAAAAAACATGTTAATACCAAGAATATTGAATAGGGCAACCATAACATTTGCCCAAAACGGATTCGGCCCAAAGAAGTCCTGCTTTGTACCAATTTATAAGAAATTCTACACAACCAAAGCTGAGGAAAATGACGGAGACACGGCGACAATAACAATTGGTGATGTAACCAAAAACATTAAACCTCCCAAGAACCCAGAATTAGTGCCACAAAAATACAGTGAGTATTGTACAGGCTTTTCCATGCGGGATAATTAAATGTGATTTCCATTCATCTTACAGTTCAATATGCCGAAGATGGCACCATGGAACTTACCCAGTCAGCTTTACATCACCTGCGTTGGATGCTGCAAAAAGATGCTCTGAAACAGGACATGTTTCTTTTGGGTCAACCGGGTGCACTCAGGCGTCAACTGGCCATGCAGTTCCTGGAACTGACTCAACGTGAATTGGAATACATTGCTTTGAGTCGTGACACCACAGAAAGTGATTTGAAACAGAGGCGAGAAATTAAAAATAAGGCTGCCATTTATTATGATCAAGTGAGTGAAGAACGCACGTTGTTTCGTCGGTTTTTGTGAACTTTGTACCCAATATTTTATTAATTGTTTTTTTTTTGCATATAGTGTGCTGTGCGTGCTGCCGTCAATGGACGTGTCTTGATTTTGGATGGTGTGGAACATGCCGAACGTAATGTTTTGCCCATATTGAATAATCTGTTGGAAAATCGTGAAATGCATTTGGAAAATGGTAAATTTTTAATGGCCCCAGAACGTTATGACAAGTTGTTGGAGGTATGTTGTATTGTTGTGTATTTTCATTTGGAAGTTTATTTAAGAGTCTCTTCTTTCCAGACATACTCTAAAGAAGAATTGGACTCATGGGGCCTGCTGAGAGTCTCCGAAGATTTCCGTGTCGTTGCCTTGGGTTGTCCAACACAAAAGTATAAGGGTACACCTTTAGATCCACCACTTAGATCACGCTTCCAGTCCCGTAATGTTTCACATTTTTCATTTGAGGTAAGTTAAAGCAATAGGGAAATGTGTTGCTGAAGGTATATCAATTAAGAAGTGAGAAGGAGGTTTTCAGTTTACCGTCTAGAAATGTTTGTGGATGCTTTAATAACATTCTGCAGAATTCGGAACAAGTGGCGATAAGGGTCCCCTCACCAGAGATACCCCTCACCAGAGATACCCCTCGGTGTTTTGAGTACGACAATAAAATAATAATGTCCGTTAGTGCCAAGGCAATATAGGTTTCAATACCATTTTTTTTTTCTAAATTTGATACTTTTTGAAGCAGGCAGCTTTTGGCCGAGGTCATCTTGAAATTTTCCTATCTCCAACGCCGGCAATGTGACCCAAAGTTTGTTAACATAATTTTATAAGAAGCCGTTCCAACATCGTGTACCAGTCAATGCTTTCTAAATTTGATATTTTTATACCCTCAGCCATATGGGTATATATTATTTGATACGGCCAAAACATGCCTCATCGAAATAACGGTTTTAGGCCCTAGGTCTCTTTTGACCAAATTAGGTTCAGGACATTTGTAGTCGATCAAGCGATGTCCGTCCGTCCGTCTGCCTGTACGCACGATAACTCACGACTCAGATTTGATTCAAACTTGGTACATCGTAATACTTTTCTCAAACTTAGATCGAGTTCGGAGATTGGCAATATCAGTTCACTCCTTCTGGTACCTCCCCCACAAAATGTCAACAATTTCAAGGAAAATAATTTACTGCACAAAAAGAGAAAGGATAATCCGATTTTGCTCCAACTTTGCAAATCCTAATATGTCTATCAGCGCTAGGTCAGGTGCAAAAATGGACAACATCAGTCCACTCCATCAAGTACCTCCCCCACAAACGGTCAAATTTTTGAATAATTTTCACTCTTATAGAATGTGATGTAGGTGTCCGATTGTCTTCAAATTAAACACATCACAATGTTTTTATTAGCCCAAGGTCTCGTGGGAAGATGGAATATATAGCTTCACTCCTTCTGGTACCTCTCCCATAAAGTATAAAAATTTTAAATATTCATGAACCTCATTTAACACCCGATTCCATTCAAACTTGTACCATCTCAAAATGTCCATCAACTCAAGGTATTTTATAAATATGGTAGAGATCGGATCATTCCTTCCGGTACCTCCCCCACAAAGGATCAAAATTTTGAATAATTAAAACGATCAAAAATTCCGAAATAAGCATCCGATTCTCTTCAAATTACGCACATCTCATTATTTCTACTAACACAAGATCTGCTGTGAAGATGGGATGTACCGGTCCACTCCTTCTGGTACCTCCCCCACAAAGGGTCAAAATTTTGAATGCTCATGAAGCACATAAAACACGAAATTAGCATACGATTCCATTCAGACTTGTTACATCTAAATATTTCCAGCAACACAAGATCAGCTGTAAAGATGGGAGGGATCGGATCATTTCTTTTGGTACCTCCACCACATTGGATTCAAGATGTTGAAAACCCAGACGCTCAAAGAAAGCGTAAGCATCAAATTTTCTTCAAATTTCACACATACAAACATTTTTGGTAACGCAAGACCTGTTGTGAAGATGATATATATCTGTGAACCCCTTCTGGTACCTCACCCGCACAAAGGTCACAATTTTCAATACTTTATTTATCATAACTTGCGAAACAAGTCAGCGATTATTTGCAACTTGCTACATCTAAAAATTTCTCTCAACCAGAAACCTGAGATGTATATGGAATTTATGATTTCGCAAAAAATTGGAGATAAAGGTTCGATTTTCTTGTAATTTTCCCAAACCAATATTTTTATCTGCATTAGGCCGACTATATTTTGTACCTCGCGCACACTTTTAACATGTTCTAAAAATTATTACATACCTCATATAGAATGAAACGAAACCTGGCCCATCGCAATATTTATATTATATTTATTTAGGTCCGATACGAAATTTACAATATTTGCCAATTTCTTCGGAAAGTACTCCATAGAGGGTCAACAATTTGAATAATCATAACTGAATATTGGCTTAGGGCATACACCTGTCGGCAAAATTTTTTAATTTTTAACATGTTCTAAAAATTATTACATACCTCATATAGAGTGAAACGAAACCTGGCCCATCGCAATATTTATATTATATTTATTTAGGTCCGATACGAAATTTACAATATTTGCCAATTTCTTCGGAAAGTACTCCATAGAGGGTCAACAATTTGAATAATCATAACTGAATATTGGCTTAGGGCATACACCTGTCGGCAAAATTTTTTAATTTTTAACATGTTCTAAAAATTATTACATACCTCATATAGAGTGAAACGAAACCTGGCCCATCGCAATATTTATATTATATTTATTTAGGTCCGATACGAAATTTACAATATTTGCCAATTCCTTCGGAAAGTACTCCATAGAGGGTCAACAATTTGAATAATCATAACAGAATATTGGCTTAGGGCATACACCTGTCGGCAAAACCTACTGATGATTTTAAATTTGTTTTTTACGATATAATTCCTATGACTACTCTTAAATTATTTACAAAATTCTTATTATCCTTAAAATTCCTAAATTATAAATTAATTTATTATTTTAGGAAATGTTAATTGACCTACGATCCAAGGCTCCCAATGTACCTGTGGAAAATCTCAAATCTTTGCTATCTTTTGGTCTGGCAATACAATCGGCCGATCCAGCTGCAAATCTACCCGACTTCCCATTAGACAATGTACACCTGGTTGCCAAAATGATGGTAAGTATAAATATTATAACAATTAAAATTACTTATAACCCTGGATTTTTTCTCTCGCAGAATTCCAATCCAAATCTGACAACCTATGATGCCCTCAATCGTCTTTACCCCTATCGTTCGGCACTGAAGAAGGAACAACAAGATCGCATTAAAAATCTTCTTAAATCATTTAAAATTGATCAAATGGCTACAAAGGCTGTTGGACAAATCTCTAACAAAAAATTGGAGAATTCCCAAAATATGGTTGCCTTCGAAATTGATGGTGTACAAGTTAATGTTCCAGGAGGTCAACATGTTTCGCTGACACAAAAACAAAAAGATTTTGTTGATTTGGAACATCAACGTAATATTTTGGCCCAAATGGTACAGGCCATTGCTGTGAGTGATATTTGTCTGTTGGGTCCCAAGGGTGTGGGTAAAAACACCTTGGCCCAGCATTTAATGCATCGTCTGCAACAATCCCTCGAACCAATGGTGCTATACGAAGATATGACTTCTCGTGATTTGATCCAGCAACGTATTACCACCCAGGAAGGTGATACAGTGTGGAGAGATTCTCCTCTTGTAAGGGCGGCCAAAATGGGCTCGGTAGCCTTATTGAATGGCGTGAATCGTGTTCACAAGAGTACCATGACAGTGCTGCAGCGTCTTATACATGATCGTGAACTGCAATTGTGTGATGGTACTACCCTTTTGGGCGGAGAACGTTATGAGTCGCTAATGCAACAAGGTTTCACAAAACTTCAACTGGCCGAGAAGGGCATTCTGAAGATTCACGACAGTTTCAGAATAATTGCCTTGGCTGAGCCACCAAATCCCAACTCTCCCTCCCAAAATTGGTTGACACCAGAAATGATGAGCTTGTTTTTGTTCCTAGAGGTACGGCCGCTACAACAATCCGAGGAATATACAATTATGAAGAAATTATATGGCAACATTGATGACAGCATACACAAGGTCATTGATTTGTCGCATACCTTAAGAGATTCCACAGATGCTACATTACAAAACCTAGCCGGCACTTTGTCTACCAGGCAGTTATTGAAAATTGCCCGTCGCATGTCTTCGTATCCCACAGATGTTCATGAAATTATCCAAAATACCTTCCTTACCAAATTTATGCCTGCCCTTCCCAGGGCTGCATTGGAGAATGCAATGAAACAAGTTGGCATTGAGCCGGAGACCTCGAAGCAGGGAGGCAAACGTAAGATAACGGTGGAGAATGGTGTACTAAGAATTGGCCAAACTGAAATGAAACTGGAACAGGCCTCAGAGGAGTCTAAAGTGCCGAGTACATTGTTCTATGAAATGCCTCAACATGTGGCCTTGTTGGAGCGTCTGCTGCAAGATTTCTTAATTGGTGACCATTTGTTGTTGGTAGGCAATCAAGGTGTTGGCAAGAATAAGTTGATTGACAAACTCCTGCAGCTGATGAACAAGCCACGTGAATATTTGCAATTACATCGTGATACCACGGTTCACAGTTTGACCGTCCAATCCACCCTGCGTGATGGTCAGGTCGTTTATGAAGACAGTCCTTTGGTGAAGGCAGTGAAATCGGGCCATATTTTGGTTATTGATGAGGCGGACAAGGCCCCGGTGAATGTGACCTGTATTTTGCGCACCCTTGTAGAAAGCGGGGAAATGATGTTGTCCGATGGTCGTAAAATTGTTGCCCCCGGCGACAAGGCTGCCGCTTTGGAGGAAAATCCAGCCCAGGAAATTATTGAAACCCATCCCAATTTCCGTTGCATTGTTTTGGCAAATCGTCCCGGCTTCCCCTTCTTGGGTAACGATTTCTTTGCCTCTTTGGGTGATGTCTTCAGCTGCCATGCAGTTGATAATCCCACACCTGATTCGGAAATTTATTTGTTGGCACAATATGGCCCATCAGTGCCCAAGAAGACATTGGCCACTTTGGTCAATGCTTTTGGTGAATTGAGACAAATGGCTGATGAAGGTTTACTCAACTATCCCTATTCCACCCGTGAAGTTGTAAATATTGTCAAACATTTAGAAAAATATCCGGATGAAAATATGTCCGAACTGGTGGGCAATGTTTTGGATTTCGATAAATATCAACCTGAGGCATTGGATCAGGTGACGCAAGTTTTGGCCAAGCATGGTTTACCCATTGAGGCCTATGCTCGTAACGAATTGTTTGCTCTAAGGAAGAAAAAGGAAATGCAATTGACTGTGAATAGGAAAAGTGGTTTGGGTGTTTCCGGTCCCAAGTATGGTAAAGTCGATCCCAAAAATGATCCCCATGTAGGTGGTAACACCTGGGCTGGTGGTAGTGGCGGTCGTGATACTGCTGGTCTTGGTGGCAAAGGAGGTCCCTTTCGTTTAGATTCTGGCCATAAAGTACATCAACTTTCCGATGAGGAGAAAGATGATATTCCCGAAGAGGTGAAAAAGGCCGCCCGTGAAATGAATCGTAAATTCTATGAAGAGAAATTAAAAGAGATTCGAATGTCCGCCCACGATCATCAATTGTATGCGCAATTTAGTGATCCCATACGCAAGCAGGTCCAACAATTGAAAGCAATTTTGGATGCCATGCAAACCAAGAGTAAAGAGAGGCAATGGCAAAAATATCAAACCCATGGGGAGTTGGATGATACCCGTTTGATTGAGGGTATCACTGGAGAGAAGAATATCTATCGACGTCGTGCCGAGGCCAACCCATGGGCTGATCATGTCCAAGAGAAACCCAATCGTCTGAAACTGGTTGTAGATGTATCAGGCTCTATGTATCGTTTTAATGGCTACGATGGCCGATTGGATCGTGAATTGGAAGCTGTTGTAATGGTCATGGAAGCCTTGGAGGGTTTCGAAAAGAAGGTAGTCTACGACATTGTGGGTCATAGCGGTGAGGGCTATGAAATACCATTTGTGGTGAAAAATAATCCACCACGCACAGATAAGGAACGTTTTGAAACCATACGTATGATGCATGCCCATTCACAATTCTGCTGGTCAGGTGATAGTACTGTGAAGGCTGCCAAGGAGGCTGTGAATGCATTGTCCGAAGAGGATTATGATAATTCGATAGTGGTAGTGTTAAGTGATGCCAATTTGTCGCGCTATGGCATTCAGCCAAAGGATTTCGCCAAGGCCCTTATGAATGGCGAACCCAAGGTCAAGGGTCATGTGATATTCATTGGCAGTTTGGCTGAGGAGGCTGATATGTAAGTAAAAGGATAAAAATTCTTAAATTAAAATTAAAATCACATCAAGTGTGGATAGAAAAAATATCCATGACTTCCTTAAACTAACCATATTTTGCGAATAATTTTCACTTTTTGTAAGAAAATTCTCTGAAATTTGTTCATATACTTTGTGGACAAATTGTCCATGTCTTGAGGACTTATAATCTAACCTTGTTTTCGATATTTTAGCCACGTGTTATGCACGTTTATTTTTATAATCGTATATAAATATATATTTTTATTATTTTTTTAACATTGTCTTCTCTTCTCTCCTTTCAGCATTAATTCCCAAATGCCAGCCGGCCACAGCTATGTGTGCATGGATGTCTCGACATTACCGCAAATTTTGAAACAAATTTTCACATCCTCTTTATTGTGATAGAATGAAAGAATGTACCTAGCAAATGTTAGTTGTTAAGACGCAAAGAAACAGAACTAGTGAAATTAGAAAAATGTTTACGAAAATATTTTTTGTTTTTAGAAAAAATGTTAAATATGTAAAATGATGTTATTTATATCAGTGTTTAATATAAATCTGTGTCTATTTTTATATATTTAAAACAAAATAATATACAAACGATGTATAGACGATGAAGAACCAGTAATGCATTTATTTTATTTACCTCAAACAATTTATACACACCAAGAAGAAAGAACGAACGGCAGAATAAATTATACAAATAATAAATATCTTTAATTGGATTTTATTTTTTCTAAGGCTAAAATTGGTTGTTACAAAAGAATGGAAAGTTGTATTATTAATAATTGATGATGATGATGGAAATATTTTCCATATATATTTTTGAAAATTGGAACCTAAAATTAATAAAGCCTATATTAGAGAGCAAGAAAAAAATGAATAAAAAATATAATTTTATATAAAAATAAAAATTTATAATTATTCCGGGTGTTCCTTCAGTGGACAGCAACGGTTATGTTTATGTGTCTGGTAATTTTCTTTCCTATGCTATAAAAAAACGTATAGCTGATAGAGAAGTTTCTGAAAGACTTCCCCTCATCTAAGGGAAACGACGGGTTACTAATTATTTAGATGGGGCAATCCATAAATGAAAATAAAAAAACAATAAAAATAAAAAAATAAAACAAAATGTTGCCAATATCTTCCTTTTCTTCCATAATCTGCATGCAATTTTCGAAACACATTTTTCGAAATTATCATGATTATCATGATCATGAGTAATGTTGCAATATTTCGCAGCGCTGTGAATGGAAGAATAAAATTAATTATTTTTTAAAAAGGACATGACCTAGTTGTAACCATTCACGAAATTGGGTTGATATTACATATATGGTGGATATTGATATTACATATATGGTGGAAAATAACCGTAAAACCGAAAGTATATTAAAATCTGAACCGATCTCGATAAAATTTGGTAGAGGTATTTTCGAACTGTATCTGATATCCGTTATTAAATATTATTTTTGAGGAGTGCATATTACGCATGTGAGGGACTTAAAACCCCAAATCGGTTGAAACATATATATATATAGGATGTGTCAAGATGGTTTTTATTTAAAAATAAAAGTAATTCTGGGAATAAATACAAAGTTTAAAATGTAATATGCTCTACGCTCCTTAGATGCGTCCGCTCTCGGTCAATGCTCAACGACGACTGACTCATAAACTCATTTTGATAGTTGACAATTCGGCCTCTCCTGACTCTTCGTCCCTCCTGGGCGAACCATCATCAGACTCATCTTTATCTTCGATTTCGAGACTTGGATCACCATAGCACCAGGGCTTCATATGATCGGTCGACATAACACCACAATATTTCCTTTGCTTCAAACTTAAATCCGGCAGATCCTCTACCAGATAACGATCGTTTCCGATAATTTTCGTGACGATGTATGGTCCTTTATACCGCGCATCCAACTTATGTGATTCTCCTGTAGGCTGCGGTACCGTGTCTATCACCACCAAATCGCCTTCCTTGTACTGAGTTGGCTTGGAATGACGGCTGTCAAATCTTGCTTTCCATTTTTCCTTTTGTTTCTGGATGTTAGCAACAGCCTGCTGTTGAATTACCCTAACATCGAAATTCTCTCTTTCTTCATCACCAACCGCCTGGATAATTCTATTGTAACTGACATCTCTGAGACTAAAGTTGAATATTAAGTCATTTGGACTGAACTTTGTAGTCGCATTCAGCTGCGAGTTAATACTCCACTGTATCGTCGTTGTCTCAGTGTCCCATTCTTTTGTATCACCTACTAGACATTTCAACGCATTCAAAACTGTCTGGTTGATCCGCTCGGCTTGGCCATTGGCTCTTGGTGTTCGGACTGCTGTTTGTACATGTTGTATTCCGTTGTATTCCACAAACTGTTGGAATTCTTTAGACGTGAACGCCGTTCCCTTATCCGATACAATTCTTCGTGGCTGTCCGAAAATCGACATAACTTCTCGCAGTGCTGTTATAACCGGAGCAGTCTTTGTATTCCTGGTTGGCTTTATAATGGTGTACTTACTGAACGAACAGACAATCAAGAATACATATTGATTTCCTTTCTTACTTTTTGGGAAGGGACCCATGTGGTCGATGTTGATACTTCTGAATGGAATTGGTAGGACTTCCTCAATATGTAGTTCACCCTCTGCCTTGCCTCCTTTTACCTTGTTGTAGCAGCATTCCGGACATGACTGAATGTATGATTTTACATAACGTCTCATTCTCGGGAACCAGAAATCACGTTGAAGCCTTTGGAGAGTTTTCTCTTCACCGAAGTGTCCCAAATCATCATGACAAGCCTTAGTTATTCGCCACCGGACTCTTTCTGGAATCACCATACGTTTCATATTGTTGACTTTGCGAAATAGCCTCCCATTTTCTATTACATAGTCCGCTTTGATCTGCTTAATTTCATTTGCCTCGTTTTGCAAATTACCATTGAGAACTTCAAAGATGTGTTTCAGCTTCTTATCCGACATTTGCAGTTGATAGACCCAGTCGTTAATGTTCGTTGTGAGTGCCAGAACATTTTCCACCACTTCAACAATAGATCCACCAAAACCTTTCATTCTTTTTGACGTTACTTCCATATCGCAACCCTCTGGAACTACAGCTTTCCGCATTAAGGTAAAGTCGCTTCCAGTGTCCACAAAACCTTCATATGTCTTACCATTGACCGTAACATCTTTCATAACCGGTGGGCAGTAATCCTTAGACTCTTCTGTCATTGCTGCCACAGTTGTACCTTTACCTTTGCATTGCGATGCATCGTGACCAATCTTTGCACATTTACTACACTTCGGCTTCTTCAATGGTTGTGGGCAACTAGTTGAGATATGCCCAAACCTGTTACAATTGAAACATTTTACTCCCTTGGTTGGCGCTCCACCTGAGACACTTACGGTTTTGTCATCCTCGTCATTCTTTGTTTGCTTCCTTGCATACGTTTGTATGGTCAAATTCTCCAACGACCTTAATAATTCACTACATGTCTGCGGGTTCATAGCTAAAAGTGTTCTTGTTAAGCTGCTATCATTGAGACCATTTATGATGTACGACAGTATTGATGCCTCATCTACGCTTCCTCTTTTCCCTATGGCCAACATTGCGTAATAATATTCCACCAAAGACTCATTCGAGTTTCGTTTCCTAGCTATAAGTTCACGATGAATGTCAGCAACACTTACTCGACTTGGGAAATCCTTTAAAAATTGTTGTCTGAACTCTTTCCATGTTTCAACCACTGGTAAAGCATCTATCCACATTTTAGCAACACCACTCATTTTATGATGAACTGCAAACAAAGTTGTTTCATCTGACCATCCATGAAGCCTTTGCAACGTTTCAACCTTGTCAATGAATTGGACTGATGTAACATTTACTTTAATTGGATCGAAGTCTGGTATCATTACTATGTAATCCTTTAAACAACCAGATGTTCCGGAACCAGATTGTCTTGATATTACTTCAGCTGGAACTTGCTGTTCTGTATCCCTTGAATTTAACCCTGCATTTGACGTAATAGCCCTTTCTGTTGAAAGTGTTGTTAACTGTTGCACACTTCTTGCTAGAGTCAACATTATATCCTTTAGCTCTCGCATTTGACTTGTTAGAGATTCATCACCCGTCTCAGCTTCATCAAATCCATGGAAATCCTCCTGTGACTCTGAATCTTCAACTTCCACTTCGTCATTTCCATTGCAAGCCATGAGTCTAGCAATTTTCTCGGACTTATTTCCTGTTCGTGGTAAGCTTCTTGCCAGTAATAATTTGTCTAGCTCCGCAACCTTTAACGAACTTATTTTCACCTTCATACTTTTCCTTGTGAATTTTCCTTTTTAATTCGTTACTTCAGCAAATCTAGAACTATTCCTTTTTTTAGAAGCCGCACGCCTTTCAATCTCCTTGATGTACTATCGTTGTCCTACTCACTCACACTTTTGAGTATACCTTTGTACATTCTCCTTTGATTGATGCTTTCTTCTTTGCTCTCTTTGAGCACGTTACACACTCTCACTAAACTCACTCGAACTTTTGAGTTTAGGTGCCTTTGCGTGGTTTCTCCTCTTTATGTCTTGCTTTCAATCTCCTTGATGTACTATCGTTGTCCTACTCACTCACACTTTTGAGTATACCTTTGTACATTCTCCTTTGATTGATGCTTTCTTCTTTGCTCTCTTTGAGCACGTTACACACTCTCACTAAACTCACTCGAACTTTTGAGTTTAGGTGCCTTTGCGTGGTTTCTCCTTTGGTCGTCGTTGTTGCTTTGCATTGAGCTCTTCACTACTACATCACTTTGACGCCTTAGTTTCTCAGCTCTTTGAGTATTTTTCTGCAATTCTTATCCAAAATGATGAAATTCCTTGTAGATTTCTGTTCTTATCCCACTTCTGATTCTGTCAAGATGGTTTTTATTTAAAAATAAAAGTAATTCTGGGAATAAATACAAAGTTTAAAATGTAATATGCTCTACGCTCCTTAGATGCGTCCGCTCTCGGTCAATGCTCAACGACGACTGACTCATAAACTCATTTTGATAGTTGACAGATGTATGGCTATATCTATACCGATTTTCACCAAATTTGAAGTACTCGTTTCTAGGATGAATTCAGTTGGAATTGTTTCAGTTTATTTGGGCTGATATCAGCCATTTGATGCACAATAGACATGATATCGAATAAATATAGTATACTAGCTGGCCCGGTCCGCGTTGCCGGCCCGTAGTTTTTGTCTATTATGCATATATTCCCAAGCATAATTATTCACAGATATGACTGATATAAGTGTTCACGTACAGGTCGATTTAAAGTGTTTTAAAATACCTGTACCCATTTTTAACCAGTGGGCTTCAATATTTAAACCGTGGGCTTCAACTGTGTGGATGTGCTATACAAATCTATTAAAAAGTATATATCAATCTTATCGCCATATAAGGAATCAAATTAATTTTTAATATGGTAAAAATCGTAGCAAAATCTTCCAGTCAAATGAGCAGTAATTTGAAATTTGCTGTATTTTGTATACTACATAATTGAGGGCTGAATGATTTAAGAATAGCCAAAGTTAATTACTTTTTTAAACCCATTAGCAACTTAGATTGTGCATTAGAGTCCTCATAAGTCCCCCTAACCATGTCAGTCTGTTTGTCCGCCAAAAGGTGGACTTGAGAGGGTATTATAACATGGATAAAAATTCTAAAATTTGTAGATATGTTGAAATTTTAGTGTAAGATTTTCACCCCCCTAATACGCATTATTAGCCAAATTCTTTGAAATGTGGTTAAATTAGGAGGTACCTTCTTTATATGGGCACTACTCCGAAATATCGACCTACATTGAAAACTTTCTTCTACCCCTTATAATCCAAGATGACAAATAGAGGCCAAATCAAAAATATAGCAGAACAATATAGCATGTCATAGCATTTCGCGTGATTTAAATAAGTAAAAATAGTTTTATCCACCTCATAATTGAGGGCAGAATGATAAGATGGGAATTAATTTTATTTGCCATTTAAGTTGCAAGTTGGAGACCCCTTAAAGTCCATATTTTCATCATAGGATAATTCAATGATGATTAAACAAATATTCGGTCCCGTGCTACTTTCTTATATTTGTAATTTCTTCATGTTTCCACAATTTATTTCATATGGATGCACATCCCAAATCTACGTTCCCAACCAATATTCTCTTGGGGGTTAAAAATTCAATAGAATACAAAATTTTCTTTTCTGACCACACATTAGATGTGAAAGTGGACTTGGGGATACTCCAATGTGGGGACTTTACTTAAATAAATTCCTATGTGGCAATTATCTGTATGATGGTTCCCTACCCCAGGGTGGCACAAATAAAATTTTTTAGCCAAATCAATTGATGAATGTGGTCAATACCAATATATGCCCTATTCTGAAAATTTCAAATTTTATGCGAAGAGGTTATCTACCCCCTTAGAAACAAAAATGTCAAATAAGGGCCAAAAAATGAAAAAAGTGGCCGGCCAAGACCCCAAAAATAACTTAAATCATAGATGGTTATATAAATATGAAATCGGGTTGTTCCCTTATCCATGAGTTATGATCGATATAAAGACCTGCAAAAGTGATTTTAGGTATTTTGAATGTTTGGGAAGAATTTCTGGAAGGATATAAAACCTTTTCTTACTAAAAGTCCCATTCGCTCTACTATTTTGCACCTTTTATTTCAATATTGGTATATTACTTATTATTCTCCCAAAGAATTTTGCATTTTGAGTTCTCATTGGACGGATCATTGTCACGCTTTGAAATGAGCCCCATTAAGCTTTTTCGGTAATTTTTGTTTGTTTAAATGTGTTCGCATCTTTCAGCTAACCCACGATGTAGGCCCTGGAGTTGAAAGGTAGATGTCAGTTAACATCCTATTTCGCACTTATTTAATTTTTTTAGTGAAAAATTATTCTTTATTTTGTTCACAAAAAATCCACTGAATTCAATATGATAATACAAATTGAAAAAAAAAATTGACAAAAAAAAAAGAATAACAAATTGAAAAAGTCTTCAACTTTTTCGCTGATTTTTTACAGCAAATGTTTTAAGATCCTTCCTTACAAAGTTTGTCAATAGAATGTACTATTACTTTAAAATTCGATTCCATTGAAAATGTTTTTTTGATTTTTGCAATGAGATCTCTTTTTCATGATTTTTCAGCGATTTAGAAAAAGTAATTATCTTTTAACTTTGGTGTGACCGCGTTAAATTATTTCGATATCATCTATTCCGTTTCGCCACCACATAATTCGCTACTACACTTCCATGTAACCCGCCATCAATTTCAGTTCTCAAGAAATCAAGTCAATTAAATAAATTGGTATAAATATTCGAATTCAAAAATAAAATATAAAAAAACACTACAAATGTACATTAGAAAAAAGTAAGTCAAAATGGAAAAAAATCATGCAAAATAAAACATTACTATTGTACATTTGAAAAGTCAAAATGAAAATGTTAATATATCACATTTTTACGCGATTTTTTTGGATATTATCCTTTTCGGAGAGTAGACAACTCCGAATTTGTGTGAATCGTTAAAATTAATCCAGCGGTTCTTAAGATATAATCGTAGTAACTAACACAACTTACATTTATATATATAGATAGATAGATAGATAGATATGGGAGCTATATCCAAATCTGATCCTATCTTGATAAAATTTAACAGAGGTATCTCTGGGCTGTATCTGATATCTGGTACCAAATATTATTCTTGAGGAGTGCATATTACTAATGTGAGGGATGAAATCGGATGAAACATATATATGGGAGCTATAACTATATCTCAACCATTTTCACCAAATTTGTTGTACTAGCTTATAGACTGGATTCGGTCGGATGTACTGAAATTCAGGTAATTTGGACTGATATTGGCCATTTAGTGCACATTTAACTCGAAATCGGTTGAAGATATATATGGGAGTCATATTAAATTGTGAACCTTTTCTCACCAATTTCAATAGGGTTCGTCCTTGGGACCAACAAATATTGTTTGGAAAATTTCATCTTAATCGGATAATAGGTCTATCTCGCTTCCTTCTCCTTACCAATATGTGGAGTAGGATATAAATATCGAAATAATTTTATTACATATATTCACCAATATTCTTGCGGATTTTTCCATGGAAAAAAACTGTGCAAAGCATCAAAAATTATTTGAAAAAAATTTTCTAACTTCAATTATTTAGTTATATTTTTTTAGTCAGTTTTGAAGTTTAATGGGACAATGGACAAAGTACTCAAAAATGTTTAATCATCAAAAACATATTTTTGGTATTACTTATAAAATATTTATTCATTTTAAGTCTTTTATTTACATTGTTTGGGGGTAATATAACAATATTTTACATTTATAATTTTGTAAAAAATTTTAAATATATAAATTAATTCAACTTGACAACAAAAAATAAAAAAAGAAACTAAGACAAATAACAGTTTAGATAGAATAACAATACAAGTTTGACTTAAGTTTTAGGTTTAAAGGACAAAATCTTGCATTCGACATAAAAACAAAAAATCGTTGCAAATTAATTTCTGCATATTTATTTTGGGTTAATACAACGAAAATGTTGGTAAAAACAACTGGTGTTCATCTCTTAAATTAGATTTTCAGTCGTTTCTACAGAAATTTTAATTTGAATCAAACTAACATATTATAATTAATTTCGTTCGATTTTTTTCGATGTCCAATGAAAGAATTTATCCCCAGGAGAATCACGATAATTTGTAATGTAAGTATATTTGAAAACAGATTTTTCAATTTTTCTTCATTTCGAATTATAGGAATTCCCAATTATTTTATAATATTCAGTTACAAGGTTTAACATAGAGTTACAGCTGTCAATTAATATAGATAAATAAAGTCTTTAATATTAACTTAAGATAATTTTAATTGATGTTCATTTAATGAAATAATCAAAAGCATACACATAGTATTTAGAGTGCATTTAGGAATAAGGAAAATGTATAGCTCCATCTAGATTTATTACAAGTTAAAAGTTTGGTTTTTAGTTTTACCACGCTCCTCCGAGATCTTTTGAAATGGGCTAATCAAGTCGAAAAGACATTACATGACAAAGCATTTTAAGATGCCAGAAAAATATATAAAAATAGAAATAGAATAGATATTAATAAACCGGAATTTTTCTTAGGAAAACGAAAGAAAGCAGTTATTCGAAGTCGAGCTAAATTAGGTTTCTCCAATCACACAGCTTTTAATCGACTGGTTTTACTTATGCCATAACTTGAATTGATAGTTGCTACAGTAGTCAAAAATATACAAAAAATGTCTCAAATTAAATGAGAACGAATATTGTCTTGTTCTGTAATTTCTTGAAAGAAAATAGTGCTGGTGTGTACCAACAATTTCAATTTAGGACACATTTTGTGATTTAGCTAATTTTTCTGGATTTTTTGTGCCATTCGCAATTCAAGAGCATTTTGTTAAATTTGACATTGGAGTTCGAGTAAAAAATTCATAGAAACCCATGTGTTTCAGTTTCCTTTCGAGTTGTCGATTCTAGTCACCATTCGTTTTTCTTTCTTCTCTAGGTTTTTAACCCGCTATCTCTAATTAAAACCGGACTTTTAGGATGTGGGAACTAGACCCAGCCTTGACTTATGGTATGTGGAAAATTTCGAAATCGAAAATTTATATCCAATTTTATGCGAAATCATAAATTCCGATAAATTCCATATTCATATCAGATTTCTGATTAAGAGAAATATAAATATATAGCAAGTGGTAAAGAATCACCGACTTGTTTCCTAAGTTATGACATATATAAGTATTGGAAATTGTTACCCTTTGTGGGCGAGGTACCAGATGGGGTTGGCAGATGTATATCATCTTTACGACAGATCTTGTGCTAGCAAAAATGTTGGTATGTGAAAAATTTGAGGATATTGATGAATGGATTTGGACGCTTAGTTCGCTTTCTTTGAGCGTTTTGTTTTTCAAAATCTTGAACCCTGAAGGAAATGTCCGATCTCTACCATTTTTACAACAGACCTTGTGTTGATGGAAATATTGAGATGTGACAAGTCTGAATGGAATCGGATGTTATTTTCGCGTTTTATGAGCTTCATGGATACTCAAAAATTTGAACCTTCGTGTGGGAGGCACCTCAAGGAGTGGACCTATATGTTCCTTGGATTAATAAAAATATTGTAATGTGTATAATTTAAAGAGAACCGGATGCTTATTTCGAATTTTATGATCGTTTTGGTTATTCAAAGTGTTGACCCTTTATGGGGGAGGTACCGGAAGGAATAGACCGATCTCTACCATATTTATAACATATCTTGCGTTGATGGAAATGTTGAGATGTGCCAATTCTTAATGAAACCGGATGTTATACCTCAAATGCACCTAAATACTTAGTGTATCTTAAGAACTAAATGGAACACTAACTAACATACATCTCAATTTTATACTTAAAATTATCTTATTAACTAACTGCCTTATAACCTGAGATCACATACTAAAACATATATATACAACACATACATACAGAAGACCGAAGAAACATCACGACACATGGAAGAATGAGAAATGCAATTCCCTTAATAATCATTCGTCATCCCGGCATATATCGTTAATAGATACTATACTTTCGATAAAATCTTCTTCATGTTGTTCCTGCTCATCTTCCTCTTTGGCTGAATACTATGAATTTTGATTACGCTGTATGACTACCCAGTTATCATCAGTTAGCAAATCACCATTGGCATTTGCATCTGAACTACCGGGCGCAATGTTATCTTCAGGCGGTTGCGAAGAAGAACGCATTGTGTCCCAATGTTGTTTTAGATTATTGTATAATTCCAACAGTTCTTGCTGAAAGAGAATAAAATTATTAAAAACATTTAAATGAAATTTAATTTTTCAAAGGTTTACCTTCTCTTTGATTTTCTTTAACAGTTCTTGTTTCTCTTGTCTCTCCGCTGGATCCATTTGTAGAAGAATCCTTTCTTTTATGTCTTGGGCATAGTATAACTTGGTATTAACTTTCAGATATTCCATTGCCAGCCGCCGATGTTCTTTAAATATTTCCTGTGATTCGGCATTATCTGGTATTGGTTGCTCGGGCTGTAGTTCAGGATCCAACAGCACTTCTAGTGGCTGTCCATTTTCATCGTCTTCATCCAGATCTGTGTCGGTTGTATCAATGGGTAAATTGGTATTGATTTGATCGACAGATTTTATAATCGGTTTCGCTTCGGTAACCATTATACGTTCCTTACCATCACTTTTTGCTGCAAATAAAAAAAGGACAAGACAACTATGAATAAAAATTAATGATTTTGATGGGAAGAAGCAAATTAAATAACTAGTGTTGTAGCAAATAAGCTCGTGTTATGGCCCGCCCTCTTAATAGTAATTCCAATGTTGCCAAGTTGCAAGGGTTATGATCAACTGCAACCAACTTCATCAACGATTTACAATTCGTATGTGTCATTAAGGAACTTCAATAAATAGAATTAAAGTGACGAAAAACTCTTTTAATTAGATGATGGTGCTTAACTGCTGGTTCCTTCAGTGGTGGACAAAAATTTCCACTGGAATATTACTTAATAAGGAAAAAACGAAGAAGCGACGGAAAGGAGGATAATTATCTTTTGCATACCACTTCAGTCCTGAGTTAATATTAATGGCTTGGATACGGAATTCTTCGAATTTTGAGGGATCAGCCATGGGAATTAATGGGGATATCGGTTCACCCCTTCTGGGGAGCAAGTTGAGTTGAGGAACTACAAGAAATATCGATAACTATGGCACCATTTTGGTAAGGCCAGAATGTAGGTTACAATGTAGGGCGTAGTATTTAGTACCCCATAAGGGTTCCATTTTCGACTTTTTCAAAAAGTTCCGGTACCAAAATACCAATTTTCTTTTCTTAGTCCAGAACCGATTAAAATCAACCCTTGTTAGATAGGCATTTCCATAAGCTCTCAAATGATGCCCACATAGAAACGGGTAAAACCCGGATTTTGTGTCCGAACTTCCGGGCCAAATAACCGGGTATTTCCCCCACGAAAAGAATACTTTTCCGTAATCAGGTTTATAAGACCTACACAAAATGTTCAGGTCAATTCGAGCATAGCCCCCAAACTCAATTTAAGCCCACTTTGGTGCTTACTTTGCAAATCGTAATATTTTTATCGAAATTTTTTAGTAGTGTCAGGTGCGAAAATTGGCAATATTAAGTACCTCCCACACAAAAAGATCTGCTGTGTAGATGGGATATATCGGTTCACTCTTCCTGGTGCATCACCAACAAAGTGGTCACAAAGAAAACAATAAAATAAGGATCCGATTCTCTTCAATTTTCATGTATCCCAATATTTTTGCTAAAGCTAGATCTGGTGTAAAAATGATATCGGCCGACCCTTTCTGGTACCTCCCCCACAACGTCGCATAGTTTTCAATACTTATATCTCTCCTAAATTGCAAAACAAGTCAGCGAATATTTTCCAAATTGGTATATCTAAATATTTTTTCAAATCAGATATTTAATGTACACATGGAATTTATCGCTCAGTGCTTCTGGTATCTCCCCCACAAAATGTTAATATTTTGACTAACAATTGTTCGCAAAAAAAAAAAAAAATAAATAAAAATTAATTTTCTATTTTCTTTAAATATTGCAGATCCTAAAAATTCAATCAGTATTAGATGAAGTGGAATACTTCGATACCCTATACAGAGTGAGATAAAAAAAAAACTGCAACTAATTCAAACGCCATAATTTTTAAATTTTATTGAATGAAAGCAAAAATGTCGGAAATAGCATCAAATTTTAGAATAAGTTTAAATTTTCTCGGATTGGTCATCCTTGGCACGAATTATGGCCTTCAAACTTCAAAAATGTCGGAAATAGCATCAAATTTTAGAATAAGTTTAAATTTGTTCGAATTGATTATCTTTGGCACGAATTATGGCCTTCAAACGGCCAATGAAACCGTCTCACGATGCCCGAATGTTTCTCTGCGGTATTTTGGCCCATTTCCGGCGAAGCGCTTGCTTGAGGCGATCGACACTTTGGTATTTTTTAGTGCCAACCTTGCTTTCCAAAATACTCCAGACACAATAGTCCAACGGATTGGTATCCGGAGATTTTGGTGGCCATTGTGCGCTGGAAATGAAGCGAGGAACCTCTTGGGTGGCGCGTGCTGAGTCCTGTTGGAATGTCCAAGGTCTGGGGCCAAAATGTTTGCGTGCCCAAGGCTTTAATACACCCCCCAGAATTTTTTCGCAATAATATTCGGTATTTATTTAGGTCGATTAATACGAGCGGAGAACGACCATCAGCTGTTATGGCGGCGCTTGAGTCCTGGTGGCCAACCGAAGGTGCACATTTTCAGCTGACCTCTTTGGTAACGATCATTTTGTTTGTTTACAAACAGCTGGACAACGAATGTTTTCTCATCGGAGCGGAGAAAACCAAATTCGGCAGTTCACCACTTTCGGCCAAGCTAAGCAACTCTTAAGCTCTTTTGAGTCTATTTTCCTTCTGTTGCGGTGTAAGTTCTTTTACTTTTTGGAAATTCAATGGCTTTACCCCGAGCTCATTTTTCAATATTTGCCGAATGGAATATTGCGATATGTTCAGCTCACGAGCCATTTTTCGATCAAGTCGCTTCTTTACTTTTCGAACCATTTCCGCTGATGTTGATGGGCTACGCTACCAGTATCACCGTAACGAGCGATGGTACGAGACACAAAAGATTTATTTACATTTAAATGCTGGAGTACTCCAATGATAGCCACTCGTGGTTTTCCAGCCAAATTTAAAGAAATCACATTATCACGCTTGAATTCCATCACAAATAATTTTTCTTCTGGAAAATTCTCACCGAAATGCTTTTGTACGCTTGTAAACAATATAATGAGCTGTCACTGGAATAATTTGTAACAGCTGTCGGACGAGTGTCTTAGAATTGACAGCAGTCTGAAGTTGGTTGCAGTTTTATTCATCTCACCCTGTATATTACAAGTGAAAATTATTTGTTTGCGTTTTTACTGCTAATTCAACACACGATTTTATGAGAAACTATTTTGCAGAATATTTTTTCTTGCTACAATCCCTTGTAAAGAAGTTTTCAACAATAACTGAAATATTGCCAAATACATTGTGTGCCTAAAATGCAGGGTTCAAAAGAAGGTTGCTTGCTCTCGAATTAAAAGTTCAATAAAACTAGGAATTCTTCCTATTTGGTTATTTGGATAAATCAGGGGGGCTTTAAAAATAAATATAATTATTTTCCAATTATTATTTAACATTAATTATTTATTAGAGTAGTCATGTATAGGAGCTCTTGGAACCGTCAATCAGTCATGTTAAATTTGTTCATTTGTAAATTTGTTTTAGTGTTTAATTCTAAGTAAGTCTTTTAAGATTAAGGATATTATAATTAATTTAAAGTAGTCATGTATAGAAGTTTTTGGAACCGTCCATGGCCCTATCGGCTAGGTTTCTGTACAAATTGAAAATAAATAAAAAATATATATTTTTATTTCACAACATTGTTGATATTGTATTTGACCTAGTCTTTCGCTAGTCTTATGAGTCACATGAGAAAAAAAAAACAAATTGTAATATGCAGAATTTGGCAGAATAGAAAATTCAAATCATATTAAATTAACTTTAAAATATAAACAAAACAAACGACAACAAAAACACGAATAACAAAAACAACACAGTGTGAGAAGAACAAGCGTAATCCTTCCTTACTATAAATAAACCAGCAGCTGTGTAAATCCGTTTGTTTCAATGGCGCAATCACTGGTGTTGTCAAAGAATCACACATTTCCGAAATTCATTTGAAAATATTTCAACATTTGAATAGAGAACTACATATATCCACTTCGTATCCACTACTTATTGGCTTGAATTGTACAGGTGATAATCTCCCGGTGGCCACTCACTTGAATACCATAACAACAACAACAATAACAATTATTGTGGCAACACACACATGGTATTAATTATTTGTTTGTACATTGCAACACTAAGGGTTACAGTTTAAAAATAAATTTCAAATTTGAAAAATTTTTAAAATAGATGCAAACTTTTTGGTAATCTCCGATTTTTTTTTTTTCAAAACGACAAATTCGATTTTTTCATTCCGCGATTTGTAGCATCATTTTGTTCTTGCATGAACATTTCTTATTATTCAATTGTTGTTATAAACAATAGAGTATTTGTTGATTTTGGGGTGTATCTTTTTGTTTTAATTTTTTTTGTCTCTACAATTTGTTTATTATTGTTGCCATTATTTTAAACATTGTGTATTTGTTAACGTATTTTGTTTTCGGATTTGTTAGCAAGTCTTTCATTGACGTTACGGACACAGACAGTCACAGTCGATCGCGTCAATATGTGAGCCTCAACTGATTTTTCATGCCAATTCAAAAATGCTTGGAGGCAGCATCAGCCGCCGCCAGCCATCGGCAACATCAATTGTTGGAGAATAAGAGTGAGTGAGTCTCTCCCTCTCTTCTGTTCTCAATGGGAACCGCAATACAGAAAACGAAATGTTATTTTTTCACTTTATCTAATTTATGTAAGATCAAAGAGTCAGATTGTGAGCATAGTGTAATTTTTGTAAGAGAATGATCAGAGATGGGAAAGAACAATGTTGCCATTTATGCGTGTTTTTTTTTTCTAATTATTTAAAATTCGGTACACATTTTAAATACATTTATACAAAATTTAAGCCATTATATTGTATCAGGCAAGGATTGTAAAGGGTTTGGCGAAAGCCAGATTCATCCTTAGCCTAAATGATATGCATACAATTGTGAATCATGCAAGACCCATCATATTATATACAAAAAATATTTGAATATGAATTGAAAACACGAAGACTTTTGGGTATAGTATAAGAGGGACTGAAACGAAACGATCAATATATCTTCAAGAGAAGAGTTCAATTCAATATTTTAAGGAGATGAAAAATCAAAAATAGAGAAATATTACATTGTTGAATGTTCCAGCAATCCAGCTTTAACTTCACTTTTAGGATTTCCATAAAAAAAAGTTGTGGACTATAAGAACTCGATATACAAAATTGAACCAAGTATAAAAAAAAAAACAAGTAAAAAAGCAGTAAGTTCGGCCGAGACGAATTTTGAATGCCCTCCACCATTTGAAACGAATTAGCAAATTTTCAAAAAAAAAAAAAATAAATAAATAAATAAAATCCATTAAAAATTCTGTTAAAATCTTAAAAATACCGAATATCGGAAGGCG